AAATTCCTTAAGCCATCTCCTAACTGCTTCTCACGTATTTTCTTCTTGAATTTCTTTTTCTCCAAGGTGTGTATGTCAAAGTCTCACTGATGAACCATAATAAATTCATCAAAAGTAAAAAGACAGCAGCTGTTCTGGGAACTCCCAATCCAGTGTATAATGAAACCTTCAGTTTCAAGGCAGATCAGACAGAGCTGGATACAGCAAGCCTGAGTCTATCTGTGCTCCAGAGTATCAAGGGAGAAAGTAAGCTACATAAATTACTACAGTCAAGTTGTCATAAATCTCTTACATATTGGAGACATGTTTAAACCTGGGATTATTCCTTTTCAGCAATAATCATAAAACATATAAGAGTTTTGGGGTATTTCACAGGCTGTTTCTTCAAAAAGCAGAACAACTTAGTTGCAGTTAAGCATATGTCTCCTTCAGAGGCTAAAGATAAATTTAACAGAAGGTGAATAAAATAACCACAGACTAGTCATTGTCAGTACAAGGTGCTGAACTTTTTTTCGTATTATTTCAGTATCCTATTAAAACAAGCTTATGCAGTTATTCTGTCAACACTCGTGGGTAATCCTCAACCTCCAAAATTTTGAGGCCATTCACTCTTGCTAACCAAATTTGAAAGTGGAATAGGAATTTTAATTATCCCACAGTTCATGCAGTGAGAAAGAAGAAAGAGATTAGCAACATCCCCGTTCCCTGACAGAAAACCTGATGCGTGAGGCCACCTCTTACTAATTGTTAGAGAATCCATTAAGGATTCTCTAAGGAGTTCCGCTTGGAGAAGTAAATCAGAATTCAATATTTCCACTGCTCACAAGAACATCTTCCCTGCAGTGCAAATACGGTCTTGATAATGTAACATTAATACCCTCATTTAGATTCACACACTCCTAAAGAAAATTCCTTTAGGTGAGATTTTGGGCAGGTACTTTGACTTTGAAGATTGATGAGAACTAGAATCAGCACTTGACTCTTTCATCATTTTCACCTGCAGACAGTAAATGCTTTGCAAACTATTCTGAAGTTCGTGCCAGACAAGTTCGAATCATTTTCCCCATTCACAGCTGAAAAGTTCAGGTGTGAAGAAACAATTTGCTCCTTGGCAGAGGGTGGTCAGTGGCAATCCACATATTGTGGCTCCAAGCTGTCTCAGTAACTACATTTATTCGTCCCAAGCCAGAGCACCATATGAATCCTACTGAGGTTGCTGATGCCCAAAACTAGGGCAAATTTCCACAGTAAACTTGAGGTAGAGGAGCTGGGCAGATAGAGATTTTTGTGCCTTGAACACAGTCTAGTTTAAGTGCAGGCCTGCATTGACTAAGTACACACTTACTGCAGTACCTGAATCTTAGCAGGTAGAAACTACAGAACCTAAAATCCAGCATGAATTCCTGGACGAATATTTTGGTTTAGTAACTTTCAGAATATGCATTACCCAGAGAAATATAAGTTAATATGCAAATTTAGGCAAGGATTTCATTACTAACTGCTTATTTTTTTTTCCTAGAAACACTTCTGCTAGGACGAGTAGTAGTTGGGCCTTTCATGTACACACGTGGCAAAGAACTTGAACACTGGAATGAAATGATCAGCAAGCCCAAGGAGCTGGTTAAACGATGGCATGCTCTCTGCCACAGCATGTAGACAGTACTGATAAAAAAAACAACCTTAAAATGGAAAAGCTCTTACTATCTTTCCTATCTAAAGGGTACAAAAATATTTGCTAAGATTTTGTATTCTAAGTAGACAATAATAAAAGAATTGAATTATTTCCTTAACCAAACCAAAATACAAGACTTAGTCCCTGGTAGGCTGGAACTCTCTCTTTCCCCTTTTCAAAATGTATGTTCATTTTAATTAACACACAGCAGAGTAAACAAAACACGAAGCCAAACATGATCTCCCAGTATTAGTTATTTTGACTAGTAAATTCCACTTTTTGGTCATGAGTTCCATGCACAAATGATCACCCATCATGTGGATAGAATCCAAAATGGCCTAAAAATTTTCAGTGATGACACCAGGCCTAACTGCCCATACATTGCATCAACACAGGCAGAGTGGCTTCACCAAAAGGAGTGGGAGCCCAGTAAGATGCCAAAACTGACAAACCCAACTAATAAATTTACAGTTTATTCAGAATAGCAGCATTATATTTAAAACCTCTTTTGATTAGGAAGGGTGGAAGGAACTGTTTATGGGTCAAAAACCCAGAAGCACCTGTTTCCCTCAGCACAGTGTATTTCTTGTAGTTCAGTGTTTTCACCTCACCCCAACATACAACACGCTGTGCTGGCACAAGCATAGAAGGGACAAGCATAGAAGTCATGAAGTCATAAGTGACTGGAGGTTTGCATGAGTATTGGAATACTCTGAGAACATAAGAAAAGGACCTGTCCTGCCCTTATATATTTCCCTCTAAACACGTCTCTGCTAGAGACAGCGCACTGATTTAAAGAATCTTGGGTTTGACCTGGTATGACCATTCTAACATTGAAAATCCAATTAGCTTAAGCCCCTAGGGCATATATCTGTTTTAGCAGTAGAGTTATCTTTGTTAAGTAAATTACTCTTCCATAAAGCAATTTGGAGCAATTATTCTTAATCAAAATAAAATAGGACATTCTTCTCTTCTTGATTGTTCACTGGGGACCTGAACTCTGTGCCTTTCACACTGTACAGTCATAAGCCAGACAGACTGACTACTGCAGCAAAACATTTTGTACAATTGTGTTCCAAGAGGACCATAATATCTACAGCTGAAATAAAACCAACTTCCTTTCAAACAGGATACAACAGTAATTAATTAAATATATTAAAAAGATGGGACTTCTTTGGAGAGATGAGAATGCTTTCCATTTCGGTAATATTGTTATTATCTAAAGGAAATATTGTGAATGAGAAGATATCACAGAGTAACTGTAAGATAACAGACTTCCCTGATCCACCATCTGAAATGTTACATGGTACCCTCAGTCTGTCTTGCTAACTACACCCCTGGATACAAGATGAGCCTAGATTCATTACATTAAAACTGAATTTTACAAAGTCCTCAACCGTAATTATATCTTGGCTAAACAAGTAACACCAGCACCCTCAACCCCAATGAGCTGTTTTCAAATTTTAGTCCTACAAAACTACTGTAAACCAATCTGATAAGCAACATGTTTGATCTGGGAAGGAAAACTGTACAGTTATACACTTTACATATTAATATAATAAAACAATTTTATAGAAGAAATTTTTTCCTTTTTTACTTAAATAATATCAATAAAGATCTTAAAAATAACCTGTTAGTTTCGTTTCAGATAGCTGGTTTACTAGTTTGTGCAGGAATATGCACGTAATGTACAGTGCCTATTAACAAATACCTCTAAAGTGGGAAGTCATCTGACTTGATGTACAGTATCACCCATGTAATTAAAAAATGCATTGTACTAATGTGATTGTCTTTCCTTTGTGCTTCTTACATATTAAAGTAACAATACTTCCAGCTTGTATGTTCAATAATTCCAGCTAAAATAATGAGGAAACATATTTAAATGCACTTACCAGTCATCCAAGTGAAGTAAATGAGAAAGACCCTTTTGGACTCTTCCTGAACAAGAGCTACTTGAGTAAAGAAAGAGACATTATAAGGAGCTACAATACAGTATTACTGTCAAACTACGTAGCAATTATTTTTACCTACTGCCTTTTATATACCATTTGTCTGATCCTGTGCTTGAGACTTAAATCGAGATGAAGAGGAATGATTACAGGACTGCTCAGTGCCTACCAGAAGTACCTTTCCTCTAAAAAATGTTAAATTTTTACAAAGATGCATAGCACAGAAAACCCCGAGAAACATACAAGAAACAGATGCAAGATCATAGAAAATGTGACAGCTTCCTCAATGCTTCCCATTACTATTGACAAGTACAGGAATTTCTCAAGCTCTGCAATACATCTAGCATGTAACTTCATGAAAGTACAACCCCATCTGATGACAGCAAGCAGTAATTCACCACCATTGTAGAACAAACACGAATAATGGTGACATTCTTGTTCTAGAGAACAGGATCCTGGAGAAGCCCTACCACTACTCAAGCAGAGTATTTATTTATAAACCTTTTTGGATCTCTCTTACCTCTTTTGCCCAATTAAAATTATATCTATACTATTCTTTTAGAAAGCCTAATGATCACTGCCATTTGCACTCATCTATCCTTCCTCTAAGGAAATGAGAGACCAGATTTGAAAATTACTTGCTCCTACTATAACTGTACATTCTAAAAGCAGCAGCTTGATGAAACTGAAGGGGAGCAAGATTCACTGCAGGTGATAAAGCATTGGAGAGCTCCTTCAGAAGAAATATTTGTGCCAGGCACAGAAAGTAAAGTGACCTCCTCTTTGAAAGGTAAGGAGAAAAGTCTGGAGTAGTAAACGCAAGACAGCAGGACCTATAACTTTTACACAGAATTATTAAAATGAAGACAGGAACCAAACTATGGCATCATGTTTGCAGCTTGGATTTCAAGAAGGAATGCTGTTAAACACGAGTCAGAGGGGCGATCTGCAAAACCCTGAGAAGAGAATGAGGCAGTTGGGTCCTTGTCAGCTGGAGAGACCTAAGCCCAGTAGATGGAACTTGTTGGTTACCCACACAGAGAGCTCAGCAATCCAGAGGGCATGACTTCTGCCCCAAGTCATCACATCAACCTGCTGAGACTACGCATTGACAGGATATAAAACAATCTTTAGGGTTTCTCTAATGCAGTTGATGACTGCTTCTCATGAGTCTTACTGAACTCAAAATGCTCAAGCAAACAACCACAACATCAAACCAAAAAACATAACTAAGTCACAGATAGCATACAGAATCAGACAAACAAAAATCTTATAACTAAAAGAATTCTGTCTGTCTTCCTCTAATCTTCCAGATCTGAGAAAAATTCAGTCTCTCAATTGTAGTGAACTTTTCTGAGGAGAAAAAGGCAAACACATACCCAGGAAGAGTTTATTAAGATAAAAATACAGGTATAAAAATATACTTTATGACAATTCACCAATATTACAGCAGCAGTATATACTATTAGCACATATTCCATATCAGTCCTTTAGGTGGTTTTGCTTTTTTCGTAAGTTAAGACTAAAGTCCTTTATTGTAACTTTTTTAAGATATTTGCTTCCTTCACCTAACTCATGTTTCTTCTGATTACCATCTGTGTGTTCTTACGGTCTTTATTACTCAGTTACTGCAGAGGTCAATACTTCAAAGATCAGGATGAAAATTTAGCAGATGGAAATCCTTTTGCAAAGGGTAGCTGTTCTCATCTAGCACAAAATGGCTCCTGATTTCCAACAAATAGGATGCTTCTGTATCTGTCAGCAGCGAATGACACAGATCTGCTACTACTGTGCTGTAGGTTATATCTGAGGAGGGCACTGCAAAAGACAACAATTCAATTTACACTTGATTTTCACAATAGCACCTAGCATTCAAGTTCTACCTCCATAAAAGCTCCACTGAATCACTGGAAATGCAGTTCAACATCTGAGTAGAAAATTAGCTTTTTAATTATGTTTTAAAAACAACGAGCTGAGACTGTTTCCCATCAAACTGTTAACACCTGTGAATCATGTAAAATGCCTCTCAGGTCAAACAGGATGTATCAAGTGAAGCTTGTCTGAACCACTTCTCAGTGTTTCACATCTTGAAAGCATGTCAGCTATTTATAAAAACTGCTAAAAGATTCTATTTTGCCTATAAGGAATCCATTTAGTTATTGAATATTTAGCTATATAACTAGTTAGTTATATAATAAATGTTCACACCATCTCGCCTCTTGTAGCTGCCACCTGTACTCTGAACTTCTTTCTCGGACAGCAACTGAGATATTCTCTGATGTTGGTTGTTGGGTTGTTGTTTTTTTTAAACTGTCAGTAATTAAAAATTTTGATTCCGATGTCAATTTGCTGCCGGTTTCTATCATAAATAATTCATGAAACAGTACCTAGTAATCTGTTCAGCCAGTCTGCAGGAATATTGAGGAAGATTTTTTCCATCAACTCAGACACGACATGAACATAAATTTCATATCCTTCATCTTCTACTGTCATCAAAGCAGGTCTAGATCAGAAAAAAAAAGTCTCTTGAAAGACAGCTGCTACGTTTTGGGTTTTTTATTGAAGCAAAATTTCTGAAAGTAAGACAATTTAATATTACTCTGCAACATAACACCAAGAACTTGAAAAACAAGCAAATCTCTATGCGCTCATCTGTCAAATCTGCAGCACTGGAATCAGTTTGAGGTGTATATACTGAATTTACTACTCAATGTTAAAGTAACTTCTAAAGTAAGCCTTACTTTAAGACAACTGCTGAAAAAAATGCTTTATGACTTGTCTTCCTTGGAAGACAATGAAAAATGCACTGTTATGAAGTAAGTGTTATTTATGGCTCTGAACTTTAAGTATAAATGTTTATATCTAAGTATATGTACCTACAAATATACAACGGGTACATAACATATTGAAATGCAAAGTAGGGAGACGAGCTTAGGTGGATCATTTGGAATTGTATCATCTGTATCAACATCACCCAATATAATCTGTCTTAATACATCACTTTATAGCCACATAATACCAAGGTACATCACTTGTACTATGACAAATACCAAATGATTTCACAAACCACTAAACAAATAAAAAAATCCTTCACTGGAAATATTACTAAGGTGATAGATTCTTATTAATCTAATCAGAGCAAAATTTCAGTGCAAAAACGACAGGCTCTTCTCTGAAAAAGTTGGGTATGTAAGTTCCACGAGCTGTGTTCACATGCTGAGAGTACAAACATCAGAAACCTATCATTTTTCTACCACCTTTTGTGAAGAAGCAAATTGAGGTCCTTCAGGCCCACTGAGAGTCTATAATCTTATGAAAGAGTGTGGGAACCTTTCCAGTTAAGAAAAATCTCTTCACACTTAATCCTCCCTGATAGGAAAACAAACAGCATATAAACTTAAAGATGCAAGACTATTTTGCTTACAGGAAAAATACTAATTCCCTACCTTGTTAGATAAAGAGGATATTAGTATTTAAGTCAATGATTCATTAAACTCACTATGAAAGAGTTTAGAAAGAATTTGAGAAAGAATTTAGATAGAAAATGTACACATTCTACAATTCTATTACATCCGTGACCATCTCAATTAACATTCTCTAGCTACACATCTTTCAAGTCACTATGATACATTTTGAAAGCCCAAGATAAATTTAAATCTTGAACAATCAGTTAATAACAATATTCCCATATCAACTGGATCCACTTAGTTTATTTTCTCTAAGTGTGACTGTATGTGTCTCACAGTGCCATCTGGTGATAACAACTCAATATTTCTGCTCTCTGAGAATGCTGATTGAAAACATTTATCAATGTTATTTCTGCAAGGCTAAAACTGATTATTCAGTTTAAAAATATGATTCTGCATTCACACGATTTCAAACTCAGGCTGGAAAAAGACTCTTAAGTTTTCCTTCGGTCCTCAAGCTTCTACTCCATCTCACCTTCATCTCACACAGTACTGGGTAAACATAATTTCTGTATGACATAGTATTCAAAGAAATTAAAAAGTTACAATTTAAACTAAGAATATCACATACAAATAACGGCAATGTAATACAGCAATTCAGGAAAAACTCCTTGAACATTCACTTTCACTTAGAAAGACAAGGACTGCTTACCACACCTTAAATAAAGAATTTTATATATAGGGGAACTTAAAATGGAGACAGTTGCAGTTTACTTCCCTAATAGTAAATAGTATTTTAGCTTTATTTTGTTTACCTGTAGAATGTTTTTACTTTGTTGTATGGCAAACATCTAATACATTGCTTGTAGATCATGTTCTCATCTGCCTGCAGTTCCAAACCACATTTGGCACAACCTGAATATGTAATCATAGGCAGAGAAGCCAAAACACATTCCAGTGAAGTGTCAGCACAGAAGATGAGTTGCTTGTACTGACCAGTTGAAATGGTAAACTTCAATTCTAAGATATGGGCTTTCACTTGAATCACTCCTAAAAAAACAAGTTCAATCAAATATGAATTCAGTTTTATTTATAACTGAAAGCAAAAGCAAGAGCTGCAGCTGATTCAAAACCAACATCACTATCAATAAAACTTTCTGCCTTTTTTTCCCTTTAGTAACACATGCTCATATTTTTAGAGATATTTTATGTAGGGAAAAATCACTGTTGTTAAATACTATTTTAAAATGTATAAAACTACTACCCATATTTTCAGGTAGTATTGTCGTAGATGCTTCTACAGAAGTGCCTGAATAAGACAACAAAATTGTGCAGATAATTTGCAAGTGATTTTTTTTTCACTAATTCAGAGACACTGAAAAGCATAGCTTTAACAACTTAGCTTTCCATTATTTTAACATGAACCAGAGTTAAATGCTGCAACACCAACTTTAGTTACTTCCTAGAATTTAACACCAACCTAGCAATCTTTTAGGTTTATCTGGGAGGAGGTGACTGTGTAAAATGTTTTCTTTGTTCTTTTGTAAGAAGTTTTCAATAGCAGTAGCTATTTTACTCTTGATTTAGAGAGTTTAGTTTTGGAGAAATACTATTTGACAAACTTTCAGTGATTAATCATATAATTACAAGGCTGGTTGGTGTGGATAACTAAAGTCAGCATTTCTCCCTATGTTCCAAAGCTGTCTTTGTATGGTACCACATACACCACCTATCTCACCACTGGGCTCATGAAAGGAAGGCTGCATCAGTTCAGTTGAGTAGTGAGCAGCAGCCTCCAGAATAAATTCAGCCTCCCAGATCTGTGCTACCTTAAAACATAAGCATTTTACTTCACCAACAGAGCATCTATTCTGCTTAGTTAAGCACTGCACAACACAGACTACAGAACTACGGATAACAGTTACCTGAGCATTTTTCCTCCAAGTGTGCAGAGAGCTTTGTCAACTGCATGAGGGATGTTTGGCTTTTCTGAAACTTTTCTTTAAATTCAATTGCCCTTTTGTCATCATCAAACAAGCACTCACAGGATGACCATGGAGTTGTGTGCAGTTCCAAGTCACCTGAGACAGAACTACGTTGGACCAGAAGGTATTTGAAGTCCCATATGTGATCTATTGAACAAAAAAAGCAAACAGAAGAGTTTATTTTCTTATACTGCAGCTAATTTAAACAAGTCAAGGTCACTTACAAGTTTTAGCATTTTCCTATTTTGGATTAGAGTCTGATTTTTGGTGGTAACATGCTAAAACTTCAAGCCCATGAAAAATGCGCTGTCAGATGTACTATTTTACAGTGAAATACTCCAAAAAAATTGTCTGAGCACCCATCTAGTTTCATGCACCTCATATCTGACTAGAGATCTTGCAGCCCCCCCAGAACTGAGTATGCTTCAGTCCAAAGGATGGTTCAGGCAGTAACACCACAGCAACACCGAGGGAAAATCTAAACAGGAGGAAACAAACAGACACTTGGCAAGAGGGGATATACAGAAATAAGGAACAGAGTCTAACTGGGAACAAGATTTGGATGATACCTGAATTAAACTATTACCGAAATCTTCAACATTCCCCTGTTGACTAAAAATCTATCAGAAACGTGAGTAAACTATAAGTAATCAAGTTTACAAAAATGTATTTAATGAAATGCATCTTTATTTTTTGGCAATCTAAACCAGGTGAGTGTAAATCATGAACTGAATGTCTGATGACTGTGTACTGGAAGTCCAAACTGATTTTTAGCAAGACATGAAAAATAAATGATATTTAGATGTCTCTAAATATCTAAACTATTAGAGGAAGTCTCTAACTTCCTCTACAAGACTAAGAAGTTTCTGATCTGCTCATACAACCAGTAAACACATAGCAGAGCTGTGGTACAACTCCTACCAAGGACTTTGTGGACATCGTGGTTTTCCTGTAGCCCACTCACACTATTTAGCTGCTGTATTGTGTATGCTTTAGTATCCTGTGAATTTATCTTTTTGGCTATCTTACTGGAATCAAATGTTCACGGTTTGTACACAATTAAGTATGTGAACAATCACTCATCTTGAATTTCAAATAATCATTTAATCATAAAAATGCCAACTCCCAGATGCACAGAACACTAGCTGGAGAATAAGACAACGTTTACAAACACAAACAATACTACAGAGATCTATATGTTATACTTTTCCATTTTAAGCATCAGAGAATTGCTGTGTCTAATAAATCACCTTTGGTATCCGCTTTTTGCAGCTACAAAAAAAAAATCAAATTCTATATTTTTAAAAGTAATATTCTAGATGACTAAATTCTGTAAGATTTCTAAGCACCTAACAACCAGTATACACCTGCTAACACTCAAGTATGCACAAAAATAAGAGCCATGTAGGCATTACATAGAAAAGTTATTGCTTGAATTGGACCATTTTCTTCAAGTAGTTTAAAAGGTTAGGTCTTGCAGTTAAAATGATTTCCAGGAATGGAGATTACTTATAAATTGAAGTGGAACTGGTAGAATTCAGAGTGTCAGAATTTAACAGGTAAAGATTCACTATGAAGTTGTTTAACCTTTATGGATTTTATCTTGTACTGTATGAAAACTGGCTTTTTAGGCAGACATATTCAGCATTTCAAGTAATACACCATTTACTTCCTAAGTGTATTCATTGATCAGAAGTATAAACTGAAGTTATCAATTTAACAAAAACCTACTTTCACTTATTTTTAAAGAACAAAGCCAGGAAAAAGTCAGAATTTGGTAATAGTCAGTCACTGCTGAAACACAAGCTATGTAATTATTGCAAGAGATGGTTTTAGGCAGTTACAGTCAGACTAGATTGCAAGACCATTAGGATATAAAGCCTGACACTGCAGCAAGGTGGAAAGCAGAGAATGAACATCACAAGTAGAAAAAAACAGTAATTCATGCTAAACTTGACACTGATAAGGAAGACCCAGCAAAACTGGTAATAGTTAACACTCATGGGATTTAATAGTTAGATAACTAGGTACTACTGCATCTTGTCTCTAGATTCAAATTTTTAAATATTTATGTCTTAGTCTTCTAAGGTAAGTGCATTCAAATACTGCTGCTGATGGCATTGCTTCTAAACAGAGGAGACATGTAAGAATTGCTATCAGATATGTTACTCTTGCAAGGAAAGTATTTAAAGGTTGAATAGCAAATGTTACCAGCTGAACATTTTAAAGATATTAACAGCATCACAAAAATCCATCTACAGCAAGCAATAGGTACAAGGACTTTACCTTTTTTCCTTTGAAGCTGAGGGCACCAGGCAGCCCCTGCTCCCCACAGAACCATCCTATAGCGTTGATCTCTGTTCTGTTCTACTGTTAGAATAATTTTTATTTGCCTGCCACCTTTGTAGCTATACACAGATTCTGAAAAAATTGAAATTACATTACTTCTACAGTAAAAAGCATGTAACCCCAGTATTAAGGCAAAATCATGTTGCTATCGTATTTCACAGTGCAATTACAAGGAAAGAAGAATACACCTACAATTTCTTCAGGAGAGGAAACCATCTGATTTCTTCAGCAATATGAATCTAGTTTGAAGGAGTGCATAAAGTAGATTAATTTACTTTTATCCACCTAAATACTCAGCAACTGGACACCTCCCTCTGAAAAAACAGATATCTGAGCATCTTTCAGCTCCCACTCATCTTGGTTTGTATTGAGCACAAACAAATTTTACTCAATCTCTCAGCAACTGATTGTCATAACTGAAAGTTAAAGTTCCTGTAGCTTCTGTGGAATACACTGAAAAAAACCACTTCTCTAGAAGTTTTCACATAAAAGAAAACCATAGTCATGTACAAGGCACACTACAAGTATTAGGAACAGTACATATAAATTGAAACAATGAAGATCTCTATGTGACTCTTACCCAGCATACTGCCTTAGTTCCACACTAAAACTACAGTATTTTTAATAAAAAAGTAATTTTTCAACAAGAGCTCTTGCATTAAATATCTAACAGTTCTGAGATTTACATACTATAGCAAATTATGAAGACTTCTATGTTCAAAATTCTCCACTTATAATGAATATGATATTGACAGTGTGGGTAAAAGTTTGAATCTTATTAATACAAGTTGATAGTGCAATATGATCATATTTACGTGCAAAGTTTGAAGTCAAGCACTGAGAACATTTTGCCTTGCAAAATTACTATTTAAGTTTCACCTAACACAGAAGTTGAAGTCCAGTGCATGAACTCACCTGTTAATACAGCAATGTCGATAATTTTCAGGATTGAGTGCACCAATGTGTTTGGCTGGAGCTCATCTAGCTGCATATACTGAACACTATCCAGTCTCTGAACTTGTCTTCGTGGAATGTCTCTGAAGTGTGGAAATTCTGATGATATGTACGCCAATAAGCCACGGAGAACATCACAATCCACTACAGGATAAACTTATATGAAAAAAAAGTCAAAATTACATACTATTCTTCATGCTTAGAAGTATAAAACTTACTGCTTGGAACATATTTACACTCACAAAATCAAAACTGTTTCAGAACAATTTTAAGGCAAGAAAACCTTGAGATGTGTAACATGATCTGAAATTAAACTGTACTTCATCTGCCTCCTCTTGATAACATCCCAAAGTTAAGCTAAGTACAATACTTTAAATTACACTAAATATAGCAAAGAAATATTGTCTCATAGCTTGGTAAGAAGAATAGCTGTTCTTGGCCATTTACATCAGAATCTGCCTCAAACACCTGGTACTAATGGACATCACAAAGACAGTAAGAACAATGCAATCATGGTGGTACTTCCACTGTTTTTTTTCCTTTGTCTCCCATAATGAATTACTTTCCCTGGATGGATCTACTTGCTCTTTAAGCCTCTGAAGTTTTTGCAAAAAGTTTAATCCTCATGCAATTTCAGACATCAAATGGTCGAGTCCTGGGATAACTGCTCTTTCTTAAACTGAACTCACAGAACTCTCAATTTTTCAGAGTTTTGAGTGGTAACCACCAAACTTTACCATAAACTCCACATGCCTATCTGATGTCATTATGTCCACATGTTGTCCACAGGTGTTCCTGTCATACTTTTCTATAGTGTTTTGTACCTCTCAGTTGCACATATTTCCATTTTATCCCACGTGTGAGGCATTGTCAGCAAAACAGAATACTTTAAATAGCTATTTTACTGTGATTTTCATGGAAACTTATGCACTATAACCTTACATTCTTCTGGATTGAGAGTTGAGCAGTTCCCCAGATTCAGTAACTGACTGGTAAATGTAGATTGAAGCATGATTTCTCCACACCAAAGATTCTCATACATTATTACATCTGCAATAAAAAAAGCAACCTTATCAGCTCATGTATCAACAATACTGAAGTGTATCATATTTTCTCATTAGTTTGATGTAATTTTTAAATTCATTAGCCTCCTAGCAGGCACTGTTTAAGTGAAGCGGGTGACCATATTGGATAAATTATTATTGTACAAAACTTCAAAATGAGCAGTACAGTACTAGGCTTACCTTGCAATAAGAATGTCTAAGCAGAAAAGAAAAAGCACAACTTGTCTTCAATTTCTTTGAAATATCTACCTTTGAGCACTTAATAAACTCTTAATGAAGAGAAATAGGCACCTTAAACGGTAGAAGTATTCAAACAATTTCATATTGTTTAACTTTTTTGCATATTGCCAAACCTAAATGGCCAGATCACTGACAAATTCTGGGCCACTCCAGCCCCAAATCAGGTGCAATATTGTTTTTGAAGTATTGCATTTGCTCACAAGATGTGTTCTCTTGAAGAGAGGGTTTTGCTCCTGTTAGGTACTAAAGAGTACAAAGGAATTATCAAGAGGAATCTACATTATTAATTGACATGTTATGAAAGAGGTAAACTACAAACAGCATTTTGTACTTCTGCAGTCTATGTTGGTTACCAATTCACAACATGATCCATCTCAAGATGCTACTGCTACGTTACAAAGTCCTTCATAGGAGGAAGAATATTTCTCATCTTGAGACTGAACTTCACATCACAATTTTTTGGTCTACCTGCTGGTCCAACAGCAAAGAGTTACACAGAAGTCTATAAGTTGAACAACTAGCACATCTGGTTTGTAGTAGCACTTGTACTTTTCCAGAACAACTGTTGTAAGACACTGACACCTTCCAGAATACATCTGACTACCCATGGCACCGTTGTAGTGTCAATGCATGGCTGTGTCTGTGGGCAAACCTCTGTGGGACAGTCAGTGTTCCACTGGCAGCACGACTGAGGGTTCAAAGTGATGCTGAACAATGCAAGTGATGCAAGAAAGATACTCACAAATGCTTAGCCATAGTTCCAAATTACTTGTTACATATTCTTCTACTTTACACAGAAGTTTAAAACTTCTACTTTAAACTTCTACTTTAATACTTTTAAAGATCCACATTTTAAAAAGGCAAATAAAAGAATTCTCACCTGTAAGCAGTACAACATCCCCAGGAAACACAGTGAGGGACCAAAATGCAGCACCACGCCACAGCACCACCTTTCTCTCAGTTTCTGACTGGTCAATAACAACAATTGTTGCTACAGGAACTTTACATGGAGATTTTGGTCTAGTCTTTACTTGTATTTCTTTGATATGACAAGGATGTACTACTGTGACCAAAATATTGTACTTTTGATTTTTGCAGCAGCAATTCTTAAGTGATGATAGTTTCTTCTGAAGTTTCTTGAACTCTGTCATCTTCTCTTGATCCACTCTAGTACCAGGACCAGGTGGAGAAGAATTCAATTTAGCTCTCTTGGATACCAGTTGCCTTTTAAATGCTGAGTGAAAAAGATGAAAGGAATCTTCACACTTGCGGGGTCTTTTAGAGGAGTTCTTATGAGAACAGTCCACTTGAGAGCACAATATCCCAGAGTTCAATGGTTCAATATGGATTTCATTTACCAAGTGCTCAGCAGGAACTTCAATTTCTTGTAATTTCCCTGTGTTTTCCTGAGCACTTCCTTCTTGTTTTGTAGCGTCAAAACTAACATTTTTCCCATCATCCTCAGAACTGAAAAGATCAAGAGAGTTTGTATACACTTCCTTATATTCATTTTCAGCCACATTAGTACACGTTCCAACACCAGAATCAAATAGCAAGTGATCATACTGCCTTTCTTCAGGTTTTTTGCCTGCTTCTGTTTCTGACAGTTCTATGATTCTTTCCAGCATCTCACTCCGCTCCTGTGCAAGAACAGCCATCTGACTTGATGTCACTACACTACGAAATTCCGTGTCTGTTGACACTGCTAAGTTTGAACAATCGTTTGGTTCTTTTGGTTTTGACTCTTGACTTTTTTGGAAAACCATATCCAGATATTGACCTAGATGTTCATGATGATCACTTCTGTCACCTGACTGCAGTCCCACAGACAGATTTATGCTGATCTGCTTCGTACTGGCAACCAACTGGGAAATGTCAGCACCGTTCATCTCCGAACCACCGGCTTTTCTCTCCGTGAGGTCTGAACAGCAGCTACGTGATGGTTCGTCTTGTCCAGCTGATTCTGTAAAGTTCTGTGGAAGGTGTTGATCTGCAGCCTGATTTACATTTGCAGGTGTGTATCTATCTTTAGATATCTGACAATCAGAAGAAGCGAAACTTTTGGTCTCTTCAGGTGTGCTGGCACAACTTACTGCCATGGGTACAAGAGATGTCAAACATTCTTTTGCTGCCACTGACCTTCCCTGTTCAGACTGCTGAGCGCTGCCATCCCTTGTAGGAACTGCTCTGACTACGGAGTTTCCTGCCTGGAACACTGAGGGGTCAGCAGCACCTTGGACTTTTTCAGAAAAAAGACCATGTGCATCACACAAATAGTGCAGCTCTCTCCATTTTTCAGCAGTAGGGGCTGAACTACTTTGCTCTAACACCTCCAGTGGGCCTGGAATACGGGGTGCTCCCACAAAAACATGAATCTGAGGTCTTTTTGACATTTTCGACTGCTGTGCAAGTTTGACTTTAAATAATGTGGCTTATGCAATAAGCACAATAATAAATATCAGCAAATGCAAAAAAAAAATTTGACTTTCTCTTAACAACTTTAAAAATACCTAAAATTCAAAGGAGCATTTCATAGTTTAACTGGTAAAAACACTGCTTTACTACTTAAAGCCTACAAAAATAAATGTACAAAATCTAAAAAAAAAGGAAGTTATTTTAAAAATATTTAATATTTATTTCTTGTGTCAAACTTGCATAGAAAAATAAATTACAGTACTCCCTAGTTTCTGATTCTGATATTTGGAAACACATTATAGTGAAGTTAAAATTAAGTTTAATTATTGAGCTATTTATCTTCATTTATTATTGCTAATTAAACAGTTGTATGTGAATTCATTATTCAGTACTTTGATAGTAATTTATGTGAAAAAAATGCCTGTAAGAAACTTTCATAGCACAGTTAGGAGATAATTTCATCTCCCAGAAAATTATAGTTTCAACTAAATGATTAAAAACACTAGACCCATTTAAAATTAAAGTCTGCTAGTAATGCAATATTTTACATGCTGTTTTACAACTACTATATTAAGTGATTGGTTTAAGAAACTGAAGCATTCAGGTTACTACTAATAAATTACAATCATTTAATAAGCACTAAGAGGTCAGTCAAATTTGAGTAGGTGATTTAGAATTTCCTTTAATTCATTTAAGTAGTATCACATGACTCAAGAAGTAGCTTTTCTAGCTACTTTAAAATAAGCCCACCTTACATGGCACAAAAGACCTCTTTTTTTAAATTTCTGCTATATAATTACAAATATAATTTTAAAATATGCAGCTACAGCTACAAGTGTTCATTAAAATGCTGATGTCTAGCTACATGTTTTGGGAGTGTTTTGCTAATAGAAGTTGCTGCAATAGGTACTTCTGCAGATGTAGAGAATGCCAGAAAAAAAATCGAGAGCTAATCCAGCTGTAAAGAGAAGGAAAAGAGCATTGAAACAAATACAGCATTGAAAAATACGCAAATTTTTCATTTAGCACTTATTAAATTAGCAACCATTTCCCAACAACCCCACTAGGGGTCGATAAATCTGCATATTCCTAAAGATCACTGTAATATGGAAAAACTATAAACATCCTAGAACACTGATCTCTGGTATATTATTGGTGTCACTGGAAAAGCAATATACAACCACTAAAATCAGATATGGTAAAATTCAAAGAAGGTACAAAACACAGTAACTGTCTGCATTCAGTTTTATACTCATTAAAAAATGAACTCTTAAAACATTAGAGTATCCAAACTTCTGTAGTTGCACATTTAAATTTAGTCTCATAAGAATGTAACTTTTAAAGGACAATTCTCAAACCTGTGAAAGCTTTCAGTTATGTAAAGAATGGCAATATACAAATAAGCAGAAAGACAGAATTTACAGTTCAACACTAAAATAACGGACCAGGTAAGGGAAAGACAAAGCAAAGTGTTAGTGAGGTTGAACCCCTAAGTAAGTGATGTAAGTTCTGCAGATAAAAGGCTACCCAATACATGACATAAAAACAAGTTCAGTAACAAATCTATGACAAACAGAAAATGTTTTGATTAGTTTAAACGAACTTCAGAAGTGTAACCTAAGTGATGAGATTAAATAATTTCTTCAATTAAAAAATATCTAAGTCTACTGGTAACTTTTTCATTTGTGATTATCTTGGTTACAGCCTTTACAAATGGGTATCTTTCTTAATTAGGTACACTAATACGAATGTCTCTTAATAAGGAGGTTCAAATGAATAAAAGGTTCAAATGGATTCCAAAATATTTAGCGCACATATGTTCTATAGAACAAAAGATGTTGAACTGTAGAATTCTGACACAAGCCTGTGCCATTTCAACCTCTTTTGTTCTATAGTACATTTTAAATGAGCCCATTCAATACTTCAATTCTTGAGTTCTGTGGACACTGGAATGCTAATTTAGCTGCTAAATAGTTAAGATAATTAGAACAGTATGTTTAGAGGCCATCTTACAACCTGCAGCTGCAAGACCTTTCAGAGATTTGCAGTCATAGAAAAGTTAGTGCTTAAGATGCCACAGTTTAAAGTACTCAGAATTAAAACTAAAAAAACTGTCAAGTGTCCTAGATTACTTTGTATATAAAATGCAGGACTTCACATACTGTACTGGAGCAAATTTCTGCACTTTACAGCTTAAAGCCAGAAAAGAGTGACAAAGGAAAGCTTTTAGACAATTATATATTTCATGGGCTAAACATATTGTTTCAATACTTGAAGTTCAGTATAAAGGAAGATCCTAGAAAGGCAGCTGTACTTCACTCCACTTACAGAGATATCCTGTATCATATTTCAAGCGTATTCTTCCTATAATCAGGGTTGTACAATTAATTAACCAGTTAAGACTTGAAGGAGAACCATCACTGAAGAATCAAATAATAAGCATTGGGTTTTTTGTTTGTAATTCTGTCTACTCCCCATATTAAGCTCGTGGAAAATTAGATTTGTTTTTTAATTCCCAAGCACTACTATACTATTTTTAACCAAAAGCATTACCAATTTATGAAAACAACAAAATGTAAATGTAAACATATCCTAATAGCCCCAGACTTTCTTCTCTCTCTCTCTCTATATATACACACACACATTACACTCAGTGTCTTTATGCAGAGTCTGAATTGAATAAAGCTGTTCTTTTGGCATACTTGAAAAAGACAACTACTGTGCCCCTTACACCTTTCTCCCTTGAGGATTTCATTTTGAGGACTTTGAAGATTTTGGCACAGTCTCACAGCGTAGTCTAAACCAGTTAATTCCTATTGCAACTGCAGTAATTAGGACTCGAGTTATGGCAGGCATGGCACTGCCAAATATAACTGAAAAATTTCTGCTTTTTCTTCCAAAAAGCCTCATCTTTTCATATTTACATTTATAAACACACATCTGTGACTAATATCAAGGGTTCTTTTGAAAATACTTTTCTTTTTATATGAGTATCCAAATATTTCCTTTTATAAACACACCTTATACCTTGCTAGCATTGACATGAAAAAGATGTATGAATAGTAAGTGATGTCTTGCTACAGTACTAAAACAAAATAAACTGAACACTGCCAAAATCTACTACCATAAACATATAGGGACAACTGGTATCATTAGGCAACTGAATTTCCTTGAGATAGATTAAACTGCATTTATAATAGAAGGATGTCTATGCCAGTCTTCTAGTAGAATGATGAATTTAAAGATGTGAGCCTCCATACAAATGTGTTCTGAATAAATACCTGGTAAATAAGAACACATCTGTAACAGTATTGCATATAAAACGTGAAATGTTTGCTAATTGAGAAGTCAACAATACCTTAATAGGAAAGCACTTTCTTAAACAAAAATAATTTCTCTATCTTGGTAAAAGTCCAGTTATATAGTAATTTATCAGCCTCTCATTTTAAGTATCACTGCTCTTTCGGTTCTTGTCATGTTAAAAGATTAGTAAGTTACACATAGATTCAGAAAGTTTCCCTTAACTTTCCAGTTCTGTAACTTCTCTGAACTTAGGATTTGCTTTCTTTATTCATATTTTGCAGTACCTGTATATTCAAGGCCAGGTTGGATGGGGCCCTGAGCAACCTGGTCTAGTGAAAAGTGTACCTGTCCAAGGCAGGGGTTTGAAACTGGATGATCTTTAAGATCCCTTCCAACCCAAGCCTTTCTATGATTACACCAAAGCAATTAAATCTTTATGTTATGAATTTTTTTCAACTAAAATATAATTTATATTTTCAAAACCTAAAATTTACATTTTTCTTACAATAGTTAGATCTTAGGAATGGTAATTGACCTCTGCCTACTTTCTGGTTCACATAATAAGTCCACTACCAAATCATCTCCATTGGCAATTTTCAAGTGACTTTTTAGGTCAAAGATACTAAACTCCTTCCTATACTAGGAAACATCAGTACCTAAAATCATTTAAGCCTGTAAATCAGAAAGAAAAATAAATTAAAGTTTACCTAAATTCTCTGTATGCAAAACTGTGTACAGAACCTTTGTTATGATGCTTTAGAACAGAATTATTACTATTTTAATGAGTTCTGTTAATGAAGTTCTGGGCCTTGTTTTAAATAAAAAGTCTGAAAGAACAATTCATTATAGATCTTTAAAAAATAAGCAAAAAAATCTATCAATCCTATCAGCATTTTATACTGTAATTAAGTTATCTGTGGGCAGACAGGGGGTTAACTACACTACAGATAACAGGAGCTAAAACTCATAAAGATACAACTGAAACCTGAATGCACATATCCATTATACCTGTTAATTATTACACCATTTCCTAATTTGTGGAAAGGTGCTCTATTCCTAATAGCCAATGAAAGCCTAGTTTTTTATCTCTGAAATGGTCAGAGTCTGATTGACGGGTCAATGATCTATTAAAAAACAGTAACTACATCAGCAAGATTTACATTTGCAAGACACTGCAACTGAAGTTTAATATATCTATTACAAGAAATACAATATGCTACATAATGTATTTCCTCCAATCTAAACACTAAGACAGGAATTCTAAATTTAAAGTTTTTTTTAAATGAACCATTATTAATAGATTGTTAATCTGTAGCGATTTGCTACACATGGAACAAAATTAAAAACAGTTTTAAAAATCCTCTTCCAATAGTTACTCTAGAAATGTTGTGTGATGCTACATACATGACCTTAAAGTACCCCTAAAATACCTCAGAAATATTCATTACTTTTATTCCATATTTCACTATGCATTAATAGTATTCACTCACCATGATAATCACCAAGCATTAGGCCAAGGTAACTTAAGAGGGTGACATAGCTTCAGCTTCCTATCATCCCTGAATATTAATGGTAGCCTAAATCCCTGTTTTGAAAATTACATCCAAATAGTTCCATCAAGTCTTTACTTAAGCCCTATACACCCAAAGCAAATCACACTAATTCCACCTCTAGTTAACAGTTTCTTTATATCTGTCCCATACTACAGCTTCAAGCTACAAATAAAATTACAAAAATAACAGACACCAATACATCAGAAGACAAAGGATTATAGCAATATAATGCAAAAGTGTAACTTACTTTACCCGCCAGAATTTTCATATATCCCCAAAACTAAAGTTTTAGGAGACAAAGTGTATTCTTTTAACTTGCAGCTTTGATTTGGTACTGCTTGATGATGAACATCCTAAATAGCAAGTAGATAATAACTTGATGCCTAAAATATGCAAAATGCAATCATATTGTCCTTTACCTGCTGAAAAGGTGGCCCAGTAAGAAATACATAAATTAGGATATTCTTTAAATTATAAATTTTAACTTCTACTGTAAGCTTTCCCCTTCCTTATTCGCATATTTGATTTTACACTCCTCCTACATGTAGTATACAAAATTAAAGGACTGATTCATCAACCTTACAACAAGAAAACTGAATTATTCATAGCCATCTTCAGAGTAGCAGAACAGCAAGTAGTGTAGTAACAGTTTCATACATAAACTGAAACAACTCTGGGATGAAGTGATGAACTTATTCCATATTTGCTTGCAACTTGTGCAAGAAAAAGAAGGATGATCCTCATGCCAACAACTCTTGCTGGCACTGCAAGTGAATCAATATACCAGCAACAGCACCCATCCACCAAATCAATAGGCAGCTTGGTCCAAATGTGAGGAATGTATCATATAGGCTTAAAAGAAAATTATCTGTGTAAGTGAATGGCAGCTCAAGGAGATCTAAGTGGATTGCATGAGACCAGGCTAGTGGGACCTAACAAGAAGCACAGAGAACATGCACGTGGGAGAAAGTACGTGGACATGTGGGCAAGTGGGGAAATGAACAGGATGCGTAATTAAAGGTCTTATTTGTCATCCTTTGTTTGGTGATTGTAACAATCACCAAAAACCTTTTATCTGAATTTTAATACAAGGTTTCAGGCAAAGACTGTAGTCCTATCTATAACTGACAGGTTTAACCAAAAGTAATTTTATACCAAGATGGTTATTTGGTTTAATAACGTCTTATAATAACATCATGTTTCTGGAATACTGTGCACAGAGACAGCTGCCAACCAGACATGGTGGCAGAGCAAGAATCCTGCTAGTCAACGTCAAAAGGTATGAAAATCATAAACCTTCATTTGTCTACAGAAGTATCTTTAATTAGTATAAAGTTACTTCTAAATGAGGTACTTGGGTTATTACTGACCGTAAAATAATTTCTATTAGTGGTTACTATTTACATTAAATAGCAGCAATATTAATCCATTCACTATTTAGTTCTTCTCACTGGCTATTACCAGAGGACTGAAACGCCATTTGGCCTCAATGTAGTCAAAAAACAAGAGGTACCAAAATTTTTTTCCTTATCTGCAGTGCTTTCAGTAACAAAAAGCTTTTTAGAATATGAAACACCTATGACTCAGGCATTGCAATAGAAACCTTCCTGAATACTCCTGCAGCAGCAGGGAGATAATTTCAACCAAAAATCAGTGTTCTGAGAAGTTCCGCAGACTTGACACTGTTAGAAACGTTAAATCAAAGTACTGAATAAGAGGCAAGAAACACCAAGTTGTTCTTCATAACTATTACTGAACTATTAAAATAAAAAAGAAGGCAAGCAATCAAATGGCATTGCCTGCAGGATCAAGGCCAGAGTTTCTAAAGTTGTGCTCTAAAAGGAAAATACTTCCCTTGATCTGAAACAAAGACATTTCGTCTGTAAATACAAGCTTATATCATGCAGAGGTATCTACTGAGCAGTTGTATCAGGATTATTTTTTGGAACCAAATGATGCAAAAATCTGAACACTAATAATACATTTTCAATTCAGCCACTGAGATGGTCATCAGTGTGTTTGAAAATAGGAGTAAAGGTAGTAGGCTTTTGTGATTAACTTGGTAATTCTTTCCCCACTACCTTTGTGGCTTTTGAGATGTCCTTTTAAGTAAATGCTATTTATTGATTTTTGTTTTGCAATACATAAAAACGTATAGTTAAGGAGATATGAACATACAGTGGCTGTTACAAAAACAAAAGAAGTTAAAAGTTCTAAAGAACAGCGACCTTTAGAATCGGAAAGAAAGATAAAGGTAAAAGGTCAAAGATACACAGACGTGTCGCGCACGTTTTGTTGCAGAACATTCCTTCCCCAAAGCCTTACTTGTGATAACTGTTTAAACCACTAAACTGCTATATCTTCTGTTAAGAAAGATATCCTTCGTGGTATTTCAGCATATTAAAAAACCTCACAATATCAGAATGGTATCATTGTGGCTTTTTTTGAAAAATAATTAAGTCTGCAGAACATTATCCACAGGTATCATTACTGATGAAAATCCACGTT